ATGTAGTCATTTTTCAATTATCTTCAATATATTATTACTTGGTGCTGAATGGGTTTCACTGATGAAAAATCTGAAAGCTCTAGTACTCTGTAGGCTTTTACGTGCATAGTTGCCTCAAGTAAAATCACAGTATTCAATGCAGAATCTCCTCTGAAAAACTCAGCTCAATTTTAGACCATAAAGTGCATTTTCTTTAAAGTGTACGTTAAACAATGAATAATACTATTGCTTATAGGATACCAACCAGCAAATTAATATTAATGGTAGTAACAATAATAGTTTCCTTTAAAGTAATTGATTGAAGTCAAGAAATAGCCAAACCAGTTGACATGCAGTTAGAATTTGGTATTTTTCATCAGAAAAACAATTCACTGCCAATGACAAATAAGAGTAGGGTCACTAAAACTACCTGTCATGCATCTAATGAAGACAGATTCTCTGGCTACCACATATAATATGTAATATCCAAAAGCGCTGCTGTAATTCACAGCTAATTAGTGTCTTGCGTTATGAGAGGTGTCATGGCCCTAACTCTCTTTTCAGATCTACTCAGACCTCACAAGAGCAGACAGCCATGCAGGGATCACAACAACCCAATTAGCACCCACCCAACCTTGGGCTGCTACTTCTCAGCCCACTCAGCATCAATAAATCATGCACCCTCATGAAGCTCTTCTCTGACAGCTCCAAGCCATTGTTGCTCAAGGAATAAAGACAATACTTCTAAGGAAACCCACGTGGGAAAGAAAGAGATAGAAAAGGGATATTATTTGCCTTCCTTTAGCAGCAAAGCAGTCAGCAAAATTGAAGACCATCAATTCAAACTGATTAAGAAGACAATCGCACTAAGAAATAAATCTGAGTGGTATATCTGAAGATCCTTACTGATAATCAGCAGTCAGCAATTGGGTTGTTTGTTTGTTTTAATGTGGATATATTGAAAGCCCTTTTTCTTTCCATTTTTCTCCTGTAAAGACTTCCCTCTGGCTAATAAGAAAAATTTCCTTTCAGTAGATCATAATGGTATGCATTTACTTTGTCCCCCAGTGAATACACAGCAATCAGATAATTTGTTTAAAATACTAAATTGTTTGACTTCATTGAAAAGAAACTTATAATGATATGCTGGTTTCTAAGCAAGGCCTGCAGAGCTTCCTAAATCCATAAGCAAGCTCTAGAGTATTCACAGCACATAACAGCCAATATCCTTGTAATTTTGTTCTAAGCCTATAAAGCTGTTTTGTTCCATAATATTCTACTTAGAGAGTATTCTGAACAGTCACTGTAGCCTGGGCATTATTCAAAGACATAATTCAGGTAATTCTGCTTTGAGTTTGTTTTCCTCATGAAAGTATCATTCTTTTTTGTTGTTGTTTGTTTGTTTTTTGAGACAGAATCTCACTCTGTCACCCAGGATGAAGTACAATCGCATGGCCTCTGCTCATTGCAATCTCCACCTCCCAGGTTCAAGCAATTCTCATGCCTCAGCCTCCCTAGTAGCTGGGATTACAGGTGTGCACCACCATTCTCCATTAATTTTTGTATTTTTGGTAGAGACAGGGTTTCACCATATTGGCCAGGCTAGTCTCGAACTCCTAGCCTAAAGTGATCCACCCATCTCAGCCTCCCAAAGTGCTGGGATTACAGGCATGAGCCACCACACCCAGCCTCATTCTTCTGTATTTTTAATGCTAATCTAAAAACATTTGATCTAGCTTTTGACTAAATAACTGCCACCTAATTTGATACGTATTGCCAAAGACAAATAAACAAACAGGGATGTATTTAAACAAGGAATTCTCTTATAAGTCTTCTTATTAAGCATAAAGATTTCAAAAAGATTTTTCCTCCTCTAAATATATTACCACGAAAATATTCAAATATTCAAATATTTATCTGTAAGGATATCCACCGTATCATATTTTATAGCAGCAAAATAATTAAAATGTATGAAATATAAAATAAGTCAAATAAATGATGATATACCCATGCAACTTCTAAAAGTAATAGGGTAGAAGAATATTAAAGGGCATGCAAAAATGTTCACAAGATACTGCAAGACAGAAATAAGAAATATGAAGCTTGGGTCGGGCGTGGTGGCTCATGCCTCTAATCCCAGCACTTTGGGAGGCCAGGGAGGGTGGGTCACGAGGTCAGAAGATTGAGACCATCCTGGCTAATAAGGTGAAACCCCGTCCCTACTAAAAATACAAAAATTAGCCTGATGTGGTGGCATATGTCTGTATTCCCAGCTACTGGGGAGGCTGAGGCAGGAGAACTGCTTGAACCCAGGAGTCGGAGGTTGCAGTGAGCCGACAAGGCGCCACTGCACTCCAGCCTGGGTGACAGAGCGAGACTCTGTCTGAAAAAAAAAAAGAAAAGAAAAATGGAGCCTGGATCCATGTTATACACATACATGCATACATGCATGCTCACAAGTATGTATATACATATGTGTGTATACATATGTGTGTATATTTATCTATATATACATAGATTTATAGATATATACACTATTAACAAAAGTTAACCTGAAAGAGTCAGTCCTTCAAGATGGATCCCAAGTGGCTAACTGGTCCTAAATTTAAAATAGAACCAAGGGTCCATTTGCTGATAGAGGTCACACACATACTCTGAGTTTCCTGAAAATCCACACGTCTTTAACTTTGGGACTTTCAGAACTTACCTGCCTTGGCCAATCAGGACTCAGCTGTATCAACCAATCAGGACTCAACTTTAACAATCAATCAAGGGTCAGCTGTATTAACCACTCAGAACTAAGCAAGTTTTAATCCCTCATTTGCATAAATGAACCTGACTGGGAACCTGGGTGGTAACTTTTTTATGAAACCATAATCCTCCCTTTGTTATCTGGAATGCACCTTTGTTTTACACAGAAGGCTGCATCTTCTGGGTCTGCAAACTTCACTGGAATAAAGTCTCTTTCTTTCAAATTCCTTTTTGCTCAGTTTTGTTTACAAAACACACACATGTATTTCATTATTTACAAGCTAATGTTTGATGCAGAATCTCTCTGAAAATTCATTTTCAGAACACTATTTTTCAAAACAAAAATTTGGTTTTCTGTGTATAGGGGTCTGAGTATGTATGTATAAGTATATGTCCATAAAAATATACTTATAGGTCAAGAATTTTTAAAAATCCTGCCAGGAAAAGCATTTCGATATTTAAAATGCATCTTTAGAAAGTCTTATTCTAGATTCTTCTTCTTTAAGCTGTTTGCTTATAGAAAAATTTTTTATGTTTCTTTCATAATGAGAAAAAAATGCTATATGAGATATTCACTTACATCACTTGGATATACAGATGTGGACTGGTGTGAAGTCCCAGCCTGGTGGAACATCTGTTCTGAGTGGCTAATGCCTATCCCATATCAGTCATTAGATATTTTGATTATCATCTTGGGTATAAACAACATTTAAAAGGTAAGTGACAGGCCAGGCATGGTGACTCACACCTGAAATCCCAGCACTTTGGGAGGCCGAGGGGGGTGGATCACGAGGTCAAGAGATCGAGACCATCATGGCTAACATGGTGAAACCCGCGTCCCAACTAAAAATATAAAAATTAGCTGGGTGTAGTGGCGCGTGCCTGTAGTCTCAGCTATTTGGGAGCCTGATGCAGAAGAATCATTTGAACCCGGGAGGTGGAGGTTGCAGTGAGCCGAGATCGTGCTACTGCACTCCAGCCTGGCGACAGAGTGACACTCCGTCTCAAAAAAAAAAGGGGGGGTAATTGACACATCACACACAATCATATTTCAAGAATGAGCATAAGAACTAGCATTCTCTAACCTCTTATCCGTGGAATTAGGTAGTAGTGAAGTTGAATCCATGTGGTTCTGGAGTACCACATTGACTCAGTGTCAGCATAGTCAGGACCTGAAGTATGGAAACTCTGCAACACCTGCCTCAAAACCACTGCCCCTGATTCTCTCCAGGTCCAACCCATCTGCCCTGATATTTGGAACTACCAGGTGTGGAAAAGGATAATGTGTACCAAATACACACAGCCTGGCTAGAGTTCAGGTCAAATCAAAGTTCCCAATACACGTGGAATTACAGCCTGCTTTCATGTGGCATCATGACGGCTGCCCTGATTTCCAGCTCGGTGAGTCAGGCAGACGCAATGAGGTAAATGGGCATCATGTTTAATCGGCATTTGTTGCAGGGCAATAGGAATATAGGGAAGCAAAGCCTTTCCCTCCACAAGGTTCACATCTAATTGGAGAAACAGAATAATATGTGTTTACAGGGGATGATAACACAAATGACAGGTCTAGACAATACAGAGAACAGAACGGGGCAAGAAGAGATAAAGCCTCACATTTAGAGATGACCTAGTGTAGAGTCTTAAGGAAAGATATTCTGCAACCTGGCAATATACCTAAAAATATAGCTTTTTCAAAGCAAAGACATCTATTTAGGTATGTGTAACTACTGAGTACATTTTCAGGTCCCCTGTGCTTCTTTTTTCCTAGGGCAGTGTAAACATGTACTTGATCCTTAGGTGAAAAACTACATTTGACCAAATTTTACATAATATGGGGTTAACTACATATATTTGTATTAATCATTTCAATTCATTTTGTGTTTACCAAAGACAATTGAAATGCTAGAAGAAGAAAAAAATATATTATAGCAAGATTAATTTTGACAACAGTGTAGTTTTTGTTTCTTCCTTATCATTTCCCTAAAAGAATCCTAGATAATGCAAAAGTTAGAAAATGTCACCAGAAATGTTCTCCATTTCATATCTAGAGCATATATATTTGAAACTGTTTATAGAGACTTCTAGCCATAGACAGTATCTTTTGGCTAATTTTTATATTACTCTTCAGTAGTTTAGTATTAATTTTGGTGCTACTGTAAAGATAAGAAATAAGGCAAATTTTAAATTATCATGTCCATGTTCACACAGAAAGCTCATGACTGCAGACCCTCAAGCTCATATTGAATGACACAAAACAATACCCATACCTGAAAGAGAGAATTCTCCTTTTTGGCTTTCACTTTCTCTGATTAGAAAGGCACCCGTCTTATTTTTTGAATATAACAGTTGTTTCTCTGCATCTGATCTTCTGATTGCTCCAAAGAACCACCTAAAAGAGAGATACGTAAATGTTAATTAACCAATTAACATTCATTTTTTAAGGAGGAAAAAGCCTGGCAAGATAGTATTCTAATATCAGAAATGTTTGGCATTCTTTAGTGAAACTATTACAGGCATAAGTGGTAGCTTCTGACAATTGAGATGATTTTTCAGAATGCCTGTAACCCACACCAACGTTTATTTTTTCTTAACTACAAAGCAGGAATTTGACTATGCCCACTACCACATCCCTTCTCACAGCTATGTTCTGAGAGGTCCTGAGACTTCCCTCCATCAAAGCCAAAGCCCCATTGTCTGCCTGCCATGTATGTGTGCCACGTCCCAGGCTCTAAAATGACTCATCATCTCCATCCAACCGTCCACTGCCTCCCCTAACACCTCCTAGCTGTTAGGAGGCAAATATTCCAATCAAAGGATTCATGTACTTTATGTTAAAGTATGACGGATTAAAAATGTAGTTCTCCGGATATTAGTTCCTTTCTTTTCCCACCTCCGCCACTGTCCAACCCTGCCATAAGATGAGATGATTTTGCATATCTAGAAGGAATTTATTAATATAAAGGAATATTTAAGCAGTGGAGAGATTATTTGAAAAAGATACATCTGTCCAGGAAATACCCTTTTAGTAACACCTCCACTTCTTATCTTTTCCCCTCTTATCTTTACCATTCCAGAAATATAAAAGTCAGATATTGAACACACAAGTTTGTGAATGCAATCATCATCAACAAGGAATTATGGATCATTAATATCAAAGCCACTGTCACATGTATATCACGTTAATAGAAACCAATTGTTCTAATAAGAGGAAGCTGTGAATTCCTGCTTTATACAAATTACCCCTCACTGTAGGGCCATAAAGATGATCATCATCATTAAAGATTTTAGGTAAAACATTGATCTTTTCAGGTAACTTCTTTAAAAATGTAAACACTCCAAGAGAAGAAATGCAGGCTTGAGGGAAGAAATACAGGCTGGGAGAAAAAAAAAAAAAAATGTGTGCTATCAAAATTTAACTTGAATTTGATTGACAGGTCATGGGTATTAGAGAATATGAGTGCCCTAAGAATGACCCATTGAAAGGCATTTGGGGGAAGGAATTGAAAAGTGAGACATTAACGTATAAATATTACCTTCTAACAAATGCAGGGTGTTCGTTTATCATTTCGCCAATTATCAAATTGTAAATTACAGACATTAACTGTATCTGTCAGGATATGCCAGATCATCTTGGAGTAATGAACAACTCCAAAAATCCCAGTAGTTTAAGACAACTGGTTTCACTCAGTTCCAGGTCTATTAAGGTATTGAAGGTCATCTGGAGCTCTGCTTGCTGTCAGTCACTCAGGGAGCTTCTATCTCCATGCTTCCATGATTGCTGAGCCAGATTGGAAAACATGGGGAATCACAGGCTGGTTCCTAGAGCTTCTATTTAAAGATTCTACTCAGGAATGAACCCACTGGCAATAAGTCTCATAGTCATGCCTAAATATAAAGAGAGTAGAAAGAGCCAATCCCACCATTTCCCAGAAGGTAGAAAATTGGAAACATTTGGTAGACTATACCAGTGACTCTGCATTGAGTCAGTATCAGGAGCAAATCGATGTCCATGGACTATTGTTTATGCAACCGAAACCATGCAAGTCATGGAAACATTCCAAAGTGGACATGTAATGAATTCACAGAAAAACAGAAATGCATGTTTTTGATTATTGCAGAAACAAGTCAATAGAATACTTGAACATAGTAAAAAAACTGAGACCTAAATATACAAATTAGTGATGAAAGGATGCATGATTCAATAAATAACACTGGTGCCACTAATAATCCATATGGGAAAAAGACTGATACTACCGACAGCATACACCATAATTTCACATAGATTAAAGGCCTACTGTAAAACGCAAACTTCAAAACTTCCTGAGGACATTGGACTAGGGAAGTTTTCTTAGGCAAGACAAAAACAAAAAGACATAAAAACCTTAGGGAAAAGATTGATAATATTTATTACATCACAGTTAAAATCTTCTATACCAACAAGGTCACCATGAAATAAAATTTGAATATAAGCCAAAAACCTGGAGAAAATAATTGCAAAGTATATAACCCAAAATAGGATTAGTATTCACGTTATGTTGAGACCGATAATCAATAAGAGAAAGACAACACAGTAAAAAATTGGCATAGGATATAAAGATGCCTGGATATAATTGGGCAGTTCACGTAAAAAGAAACCCCAAATAATTAATAAAAATGACAGGAACATGGCCTCTACACATGCTGGTGTTAGGAATATTACATATAAAACCACAATGAAATATTACGTTAGACTTTCACATTACAATTTAAAATGCTCACATTATTAGTTATTAAGGAAAATGTGAAACAAGAGCTTTTATACAGTACTAGTGGTAATACAATTGGCACAAATAATTTAGAAAGCAATTTGGCACTATCTGATAAAGCTGAGTATTTATGTACTACTCAATTTCACTTCTAGACTACATGTTGTATGAGCTCAAGAAGATACACTACAAGAACATCCATTAAAGAATTCTAGCATTGAAAATTTGGAAACAACCTAACTGTCCATCATAGGAGAAAAGATAAACTTAGTTATAGATATAAAATGGAATACTATATAGAAATTAAAACAATAACTGGGCATGGTGGTATGTACCTATAGTCATAGCAACTCAGGAGACTGAGGCAGGAGGATCACCTGAGCCCAGGAGTTCAAGGCTGTAGTGCACTATGATCGCACCTGTGAATAGCCACTGCACTTCAGCCTGGGTGACATAGAGAGATTCCATCTCTCATAAAATTAACTAAATTTTTAAAAATAAATTGTTCAAGGATGAAAGTAAGTTAAAGAATGAAAAGAATGATACATACTATTGTAATAGCATTTGTATACAGCTTAAGAAAACACGTTAGAAAACTGTACATAATTTTTATGACTACATGCATGTTTAGGGAAAGCTAATAAAGTACTCATGCATTCTTTTAACTATTTCCAGAACTGGCAATACTTTTTCACAGAAATATTTCAAGCAAAGAAGCAACATGGATGAAATATCTTGATCAACTCAGTGCATTTTCCTGATTCAAAGTGCATTGATTACGCATCAACACTAAAATGTTTAAGCAACCTATTCATCTAAGTATCTCTTTCATTAGTTCATTTCCCTCCATCTTTGCTAGCTCACAGAATGAAAGGCCTGAACACTCTCCAGTTAGTTACTGGGACAAACCCTTCAATGGACACTACTCACTCATGCTTGCTCTCCAGTGTTTTCAAATAATGTTTTATGAGCACTCTCACATGCTCTCAGTTTAGAGATGAGGAAACTCAGGCCCAGGAAAGTTTATTAACTTGAGACCACATGGAGAGGTGATGGTTGAGTCTGAAATTGAGCCAAACTTCTTTTTCGCACACCATGATACCTCGAAGTGTAATGTGAAGAGGATGGCTTGGGAACACTCAGATAAAATATGAACCATTATTTTTGCACCAGGCAAAGGGAATTTAGGATAAAGAACACCATGTATTTTGGTCCTCATTTCTTATTTTAAACTAGTAAGATTTGAGCATTTTAACAGTGTCTTAGATAAGAAATAATACATCGAAGCAGTTTTTGTCCCATATAATTGGTTTCTACCTTCAGGTTGTAAAGCTGAATTAGTATATAAACTATCATATTCCAAAGATCACTCAGAATGGCATTGTCCTATTAATAGACTATAATGTTTCTAATCTTCAATCATCCAGGCAATTTAATGGTTTCAATAACTTTCTAGAGGTGATAGTAATGCATATATGTTCAGAAACGTAACACAGCATTTGAAAGTTGGGGTACATAAATTTTAATGCGTGTATTTAGAAAATATATTTAATTTACTTCTAAGTATGTTTTTATTTGAAAAAGTAAAGGGATGATGGTTCAAAAATAAAAATAAAATGTTTAAACAAAATACAAATATGTAAGCCTTTGCAAGAATTACAATGTATCTAGCAGATTAAGTTCCCCAGAATTATTATTATATCTCCTATATATCATTCTCAAAACCAAATACTCCACTACATAAGTTTTATGTATACATGTTACATTTGTATTTTGGCTAATCAAGTCTATAAATGATGTGTTTCCTCTGTCCAGTATATATATACAAACAGGCAGTTTTTATAAATCAAATGGTTAAAGATAAAGCAATTTTACTACATTTGTAGAAAAACCCTATAGCAAAATTTTTTAGTCCTTCTTTGTTTCAACAATTTCGAACTTTTGTATAATAGATTGGTACAATCACTTTACAAGGCAAATCACACTACAGTTGAATCCATAGTAACCATGAAATAAATAAAATATTTGACTGAATGCATCAATTCACTTAATTCCTAGAATTTTGCTTAGCTGAGTTCTGATCAGGAGGTGAAAAATATAAATTAAAAAATGTTTTCTGCATGTATTGGCATTTATAACATCATCCTTCATACTCAAAGGTGATGCAATTGCTGCGGACTGCAGTCTCTAGAGCACGTGCTGCTGTAGAGACTGATGGACAAACAATAGCTTGTTCCACCCTTTGCATCTATGAAAACTGTTTCTTAATATTGAGGTTTGAACCATTGGCAGGACTGTCATTCTGGTCAAGTCTGCCTTTTAGAGCCTCTGCTGGCACCATTCTGGAAGGGCAGAAACACCCTAGGCCTGGATGTCCACCACAGCCATTTTCAGCTCTCTCTTTAAGCTACAGTTCTTATGTGCAGTAAACAGAGAGTGCTGAGAAGGGATCAAGATATCCTAGGAGTATAAAGCATCACAAAAGAGTCATACGGATCAGTCATCCTCCAACTGTGGTCCCCAGATCAGGGGCATCCGTATCACATGGAAACTTGTGTTAAAAGAAAAACCTTAGACAAATTAAATGTAACAGAATTTAATTGAGCAAAGAATGATTCACGAATCAGGCAGCCTCCCGAGCTAG